AACCAGCTTTGCACAGTGCAAAACCGGTTTTGCGACAGAGAAAACCGGTTTGCGATAGAGAAAACCGGTTTTGCACTGTGCAAAGCTGGTTTTGGGCTCAGAGGTCGGTTTTCGTGGCTCGCAGCCAGTTTTCGACCACCAAGACGCTTGCCTTTAAACCAACGAGAGGAGATATAGAGTAGAACGAGATGACGCGTGACGAGCTGGAAAACAAGGCACGACGGCACGAAAGCGGTAAGGTGTTACGTTTCTCTTTTTCGTGACGTGTCTCCCGACGAGAATTCTCGCCAATTTCACAAATGGAAAGTCAAACAGTGCTTTGTGCTGGTGGTGTCGAACATAGTACACGTGTGGGAAAACAACTCACAGTTTGTTGAGCATCTTTTCTGCCTGTGTAGAGTTGGTCAAGAATGTGGCTTGTCGATGACTGAGTGTGCGGTGTGGGCGTGTGCAAAGCAGTCTTAAATCGGCCAACCCAGCGTCGAATGAAGGTCACATTGGCGTCGATTGGTGTCTTAAGAGGGGCAACATGGAAGCCACTCTTGAGGCACCATCATCGACGCGCACATGCCAGAAGTACTGGCTTGGCCTGCGTGTGTCGTCTGTACTTCGCCCCAAGACCGCGAGCCACACGGATGGAACAGGAACCCACTGCGCGGTTCCTGCCCATCGCTGTGGTCGATGTCCATGAGAGGAAGAACAGTCGACACACGGCAGGCCAGGAGACCGGTGGGCAGCGAGGAGAGGGGCATATGGCAGATGGAGTCTCGGTACGTCTGGCTGGACACGCACGCACCCAACGTCACGGCTGTAGGCAGATGAAGTGGCACGGTCGACACGGCAGCACACGTCAAGGCATGCAAGCAGGAAGTGGAGAAATGATCGGTAGGCGATGGGACACACACACACTCACATGCTCACATACTCCCGCACACACACATGCAGCCAGCAAGGGAGGGAGACAGCGAGGCGAGTGCCAGGCGACGAATGAAAGGCCAACGAGATGGAGGGTGGCAGCAAAAACTCCGACAGGCTACACACACACACTGTCCAACAAAGCAACCCACGCACGTCCAAAACACCCACATTCCTGGCACCCTTACACACACACAGAGCATACGAATGGCTGAGTATCGTCCCCTCTTGTGTGAGCGCATACTAGGTAAGAAGGAAGCTTCAGTGAAGGAAGCAGTGGCCGCAGGCATGACCGTGGACAATTTCACCAATATGTCAACCTAATCAAGAGTTGCATCTTGATAGAGTCTCTCGTCTCGGCTGGCGGGGGTTGCATCTATCGACACTACGCAGCCAGCCACTCACATTCCTCACTCAATCACCCTGTACACACCGCCCACCCACACACCCACCTGCTCACCCCTTTTCTCACACACACGCATCTACACAACTAGGCAGCGACTAAGACACAATCTAAATCTCGCCCTCGCCTGCTGCTCCGGCCACCTCAGCCACATCGGGCAACACCTCCCGTGTGTCCTTCATGGTGGTCCGCACGCCAGCCAGCTCCTTCTGCAGGTCGCTCAGCTCAGCATCCTCCGGGATGGGCTCCTCGGGCAGCTTGCCCATCTCGTCACTGAAGTTGAGGGCCAGCAGCTGCTCCACGTCTGCATACGCCTCCTTGAGCCGCTTCTGCGTCTCGGGGACCATGTCGGTCGTCTCCTTGAGCACCTCCTCCTGCTGCTTGATGTCGTGGGGGTCCTTGTTGTCCTCCTGAAAACATACAGACACCCACCACACACAGAGAGAGATCAGGGAAGCCATTCATGAGCCATGAGTCGAGATGGGCTGGTTTTGCTTGGCAACCTACCTTCATCTTTGCGACGGTGTTGCGGACCTTCTCCATCTCCTTTTGGTACACTAGGAGGTCCTTCTTGGTGCGCTTGAGGACGCCGTGTTTGATCTTGAGGCTCTTCAAGGGATCCGTCATCGCTGTGGGCATCCTCGGCACTCGGATCTATCTCACACAACCGGGGGAAAGGAAGCCGCAATAGCTGGAAAACGATGGAGAATCCTTGGCTTCAAGCTCGCAGAGATCTGCACGTGTTTGGTTCTTCCTCTTTCAAGTGTTTCTCTTACGCGAGGAGGCTTCATTCGGTCTAAGGTCTGCGGCAGCGTGTCGTTTATGGCAGATCATTCTTCTCCGGCACTGTTGGTGACACCGTAAGGCTGGCATGAGGTGACAGGGGAGCCGCCTGCGTGCCAACAATGAGGGGCGTGAGAGCTCTCGCTGGCAGACTGAGGCGATGCCTCACCGAAACAGACAGGATTTCAAGGTGAGAAGGGACAAACACAGATGCTCATCTGGCTTGCTGCATGGGCACTTCTCTCCATCTGCCTTGTCTGGTGTGCTGTCAGGTCCCCTGGTGCGCTGCAGCCAGTGGGCGGCGTGCGGTGTCAGGCCACGTCAGCGGCTGCCTCGACTCAGTTTGACATCTTTCAGAAGCTCAAGGACCCGCCAGAGGAGCAGACGGCCGGTGGAGCCGCACAGACCAGACGGAAACCGTCAGATAAGGTGAGAGGTGGATAATGCATGCGTGAACCACACACGGCACACAGAGAGATTGTGTGTGTCAGGTGTTGCGCTTGGTTGATGAGATTTTGGGTCTGTCGCTGATTGAGGCGGCCGACCTGTGCGACCTCTGTCAGGAGAAGCTGGCGGAACGATCTGGAGGTGAGCGGGCGGGCGGGTGGGTGGATGGGCGACGTATGCCGTCCATCGCACCGCACCGCACTGCACCGCACTGCACTGACTGCGTGTATGTGAGCTAGGTCCTGAGTTCAAAGGCAGGGCAGCAGCCGGCCGGACACCTTTCCCTCACCCTGCTGCCATGTTTGCAGGTACGAACCGGCAACCCACACAGACAGACAGGGGTGACACACCTCAAGGCGACGATAGTCTACACACACAGAAGCTGGATCTCCCCTGTCTGTGTGTGTGTGTGTGTGTGTGTGTGTCAGGTTTGGGTGCCGCTGGGATGCCGGGGATGATGCCGCCGATGATGGCCATGATGGGGTAGGCAACAGAGAAAGAAGATTCATGCACGAGGCCTGATGCATGCACCTGTCGGGTGTGGCTTCCATTCTTCAGCACCATGCCAGCAATGCCGCAAATGCAGCCTGGTACTGGAGCAAGGAGAGGAAAAAGCCCTGCAACAAAGGGTTAGATTTTGTGTTTTGTCTGTTGCGTGTCAGGTATGATGCCCCCATCAGCCAGCGGTGCCGCTGCTGCCCCTGCACAGTCTGCAGAGGAGCCAGCTCAGGCACCCGAGGAGACCAAAGGTAGCCTTGGATCTGTGTGTGTGGGGGGGCACATGATCGCTGAAGGTGCGGTGGTCAACTATGTTGCTGTTGCTATTGCTATGTGTGGGCATCACAGCTGCCGAGAAGAAGGAGGACACATCATCCAAGGTGGTGTCGATCAAGCTCGTGGGCGTGGAGGCGTCCAAGAAGATCGCGGTGGGTGGGGGGCATACACACTAACACAGCGGACGAGTGCTGGCATGAGTGTATGTATGGGTCTCTCTCTGTGTAGGTCATCAAGGAGGTCCGTGCCATCACTGGCCTTGGACTCAAGGAGGTGGGCGCGGCGCAAGACACACATGCACAGTGCAGACCCACCTACTCACCCACCCCTGGCTTTCGACCTGTGTGCTCAGTCCAAGGAGTTTGTCGAGAGCGCCCCCAAAGTGCTCAAGAAGGGTACACCGACACAGAGAGGGCAACACGGGAGGGAGCCGTACAGCTCATTTACGCATGTGTGATGGAGTGTTTCGTGTTGTGTGTCAGGGCTGCCTGTTGAGGAGGCAGAGGAGCTCAAGAAGAAGCTGGAGACCGCCGGTGGCACCATCGAGATGGCATAGTCAGGAGGGGAGGGAAGGGAAATGCATGCCTGTGAAGGCCACCAAGGGTCATCAATGGTCTTCCAGTTTGTGTTGTTTCCCGAGTGTGTCCCCGTTTCGACAAGTATGTCATCCCACTTCTATCTTTTCAGGCTGTCTGCTTTTCATTCATCGCCGCAATGCAATGGGAGAGGCCAACACGCATGGCCTCCTCCAAGACATTGCGGGCGTGACGTCAAAGCAGTCAGTCGGAAAGGCCGGTGGGTGTGTGAAGGGAACTGACTGATAGGTAGCTGCACATGTAGGTGGGAGTGACGTGACTGTAGGTAGAGTCAGGCGATGGATGGCTTAAGGACTGAAAGGCTTGTAGTACAGGGGTTCGTCCGTCGATGTGCCAATCAATCCATGTGTGTGTCTGTGCCTGCCCACCTCCGCTGCCTGCATCACATGGATCCTCGTCTCTCGTCAGCCCGCAGAGATGGGGAGCCATGGCGTGCAGGGACGCTTGGTGATCCGGCAAGACAACCAACAGGATGTTGAAACGCAGCGGTATACAGATGTGTACTTGAGATAACGAAGATGGTGTGAGAGCGTCGTGCAGTGCACACGCATTGGCAAATATGACACCATGTCTCAGTTCCAAAAGGCAGCACGTCCTAGTTTCCACTCTCTAACAAAGCAACCGAGTGACACGCTTTCCATTTCCTCCTCTGACAACCGTCAGACACCTCGGTGATCGACGGTGGCGGCAACACACCCCCCCCACCCGACGCACCACCCTCAGCCGACAGCTCCATCGGCTGAGCAGCGACCCTCAGACCATTCAGGAACAGCTGCGCCCCTCTCGCTGACTCAACAACCGCAGTGCTTAATGTCTCCATCCACCCAGGGCCTGCACCCGGCACGTCCCTCGCCGTCAGCCGTGTTTGCACTGCCCTCAGTGCCGACCAGCCAGTGCCCGTCTCTTGCGGCTTGCTCGACATGTCTTGCTTCATTTGGGGGCCCATCAGGTGAGGGCCGGTCGACCGGCCAACACGCCCATCGAAGGAAAGGTCGATGCGTGTGCTGGCCTGCTGTCTCACGGACTGCTGAGATTCCAGTGCTGCATCATCACCGGTCCTTCTGGTCTTGCTTCTCTTGGTCCTTTTCCGTTGCTCTGGCTTGTCGGTGAGTGCAACAGAGCCCATCCCACTGTGCGCCAGCTGCTGCAGTTGCGCGAAGAAGCCCCGCTGCAGCTGTGTCAGGGAAATCTCGCCGTCCGTGCCGTATCCAGCGGCCTTCCCCTTCTGGCCTTTTTTCCTCTTGGGTCTCAGTATGTCTCCAACACTCCTTTGGTTCCGCAACTGTGCTGCGCGGGGGCCCAGCGACCTGCAAATGACACACGCATCGACGAATGGCATGAGGCCGTCCCGTTGTCTGTGGTGCTCGCTAGGTGGGTGGTGGAGGACCTGTATGTCTGCATCCATCCCTGGTGTCTCTTGCGCGCCGTCTCGTGTCTGTCTATTCCCTCCCCATCAGTGTCGAGGCCGTCGACGGGGAGCGACGCGCTGCTGGCCAGCGGCTCGTCGGCATCGCTTGTCGACACTGTCGACTGACGAAGACACCTACACGAACACATGGACGGCGACATGTACTGATGATGGTCCAGCGGTTGGCATCACATAGAGCAGACGCACCTTGCTTTCTGCCATTCCGTGGGCACATCACTGAGCGGCAGCTGCTGCCTCAACAGGCGCACCTGGTCCTCGAGCTTTTCGACCTTGACACGCTCCTGATTCCGCTCATACTCAACCTCACGCTGCACACACAAGATACATAATGCTACACATTAGTGCAGACATGAAGGCATGGGACCCGCCCGCCTGCCTGCCTGCCTCACCCACCAGCCGTCTTTGCAGCCACGGTGGTCGTGTGGGCTCCTCTCCGTGGCTGCGAGCTGAACTGACCTGGTACAATACGAACAAGTGAGATGAAAAGTCCAAGAGACATGCAGCCAGAAGTGTCCATACCAGTAAAGCAGCTGTGTCGTCCTCCGAAGCGGCGCCTCTCATTTTACCGTCCCAGTAGGTCCTGAGGGCCGCGAAATTGAGAGGTGGCACTCCGTTGTGCCCCACCGGCGGCAAGGGAGCATTTCTCCTTCCCTGGCCGAGATCCCCATCATTAAGGCGTGACGATTCCTCCGCCTCCTGCAGCTCGGATTGCAGATCCACGCCGGCTGGGATGCTTGGACGAGGTGTGGGAGACAGTTCAGCAGAGGCGTGGAGGCCCTCCAGCCTCCTTTGGCTCTCTTGGAAGGCCCGCTGCTGCCGCTCCTGTAGCAGCGCGTCGGTCAGCTGTTTGTTGGCAGTTTCCATCTCCAGCAGCCTGCAGTTTCGATCGCGGATCTGATGACCAACAAGGCAGGCACCCATTGGTCCATCACCATTGTCCCGTCCCCAACTTTGATATACCTCGTGTCTCATCTCCATGGCATTGCCTTCCATTAGCTGGAGCCTCTCGCGCAGACGTTGCCAGGATGCATGGCTGCACTCGTCACTGAAGGGCATACGAAGAGAAGGTAATCACAATTGTCCACGCCGAGTTCATCTGAAGCTTACTCTTTTGAATGCTCTTCGTTTTCGTCGGGCTGTATGTCGATCGGCCGTGCGGCTGTGGCCTCGTGCAGCCGCCTCTAAGCCTCTTCCAGGCGGATCTCATAGGCATGCTTCAGACGATACAGCCGCGAATTATCCTGCTCGAGATCCTTCACACGCTCCCCAAGAGCCTGCGCAAGAGCAATGGGAACAATGGATGCGCAATGCAACAAGAGAAACGAAAAAGTACCTCGATGTCTTCTTGGTCACCCGGTGACGGGCAAGACGGCGGCTGAGGCGACGACACAGTCTCCCTTACCTCCTCTTCCTTCGTGAGTGCATCGATTGTCCTGGCCTGGTCCCGAAAGCGCTGCCCGTAGGCTTCCACACGCTTCTCAAGGGACCTTTTCTCTGCGGTGATGTCCAACAGCTGCTGCTTGAAGTCTTCAACCGTCCTTCTCATAGAGGCCTTGAACGACTGCATCACGGTGTGCTCCGATGAACATTCTCGAGGCGAGTCAGAGCCGTCTCCCAGTTGCGATTTCTGTCGGGGAGAGTCGAGCGCTGCTGGAGATGGGTAGAGGGACTTCTCGTCGAGGCCGGCCTGGTCGGCCAGGGTGCTGAGTATGTTCCGGAGCTCCCTCAGCTCGTCCATCATGTTGCATACCGGTGGAGTCGAATACTCACCGCTGCGAGATGACGAGAAGGGAGAGCTGTCGGTGCTGCGATGGACAACGAGGTCCTGCAGGCCATTTCGCAGCATCGGCTTCGTTGTGCGTTGTGCGCCAAGAGACCGCTTCACAGAAGACAGGAGCCCCGTGCCGTCTGGCTGCTGCCGAACGTGGGCCTGGCGGCCCCACTTCAGTGAATCAGATGAGTCGCCAACTGACGCGTTCACTCCAATTGGTTCACTCCCTGTCGTGCGGTCGTCACTCCCTGTCGTGCGGTCGGTAATGCGCTCACTGTCTCAGGCAATCAGTCCGTCGCAGTTCAACATGATGGTTTCCATGTTTTTCTTTTCAGCTCGCAGATGCCAAGCTCGCAGAGATTCGTGTGACTTGGCCCAGCCACGCCGTTTAAGGTGCTTCCTGAAACCGCTGTCGTTGTTAAGAGCCTCATGTTTCTGAAGGCCGCGGAGCGCTCAGCCACGGAGATCTCGATGAGCCCCTTCCTCCCAGCTGCGGCGCACGCTACCCACGGCCTTTCGGCTGGCAAAGAGTCTCCAGCAGACTTTCGCGCCCACAGCCTTGCACCACCTGCTGCCGACCACCTGGAAGCACCTTTTGTCGACAAGCGAGGCGCTTCCAGCCACGGAGATGACACACAACAGTCGAGCAGCGGCTCCCCATCGTCGCCGGGCGGGCTGTACGCACCTTATATATCGCCGTCCAACAGCGACCGGGAGTCTGTGGATACGCCAAGCACCGCCGTGTCAACCCCAGCTGCTGTCGTCTTCCGCCACTCATCGCCACCGTCCTCGCGCAGCTGCACGTCGGATGCGCTCAAGAGTGATCGCAAGGGATCTGGCGGCTGGACCACAAACAGCGGGGATCTGCCAGTGCCGCTAGGGGCTTACGGCTTGGCGCTTGGCAAGGGCGGCTCTCTGCTGCAGCAGTGGTCCCGCATCTGGTCGTTTGTGTGTGAGGGGTGGGTGGCAACTCTGCTGCTTTTTGTGCCTGTCGGATTGCTATGTCGGCTACTGGAGCTGCCGCCCGGCATCACGTTCGTCAGCAATTTCCTTGCCATCGTGCCTGTGAGCAAGGTGCTGGGGCGGACGACAGAGGTGCTGGCCGAGCAGACGAACCAGATAGTCGGTGGCCTCCTTACTGTGGGATTTGGTAAGCCACACAAACGGGCAGGCTGGAAGGACGCCCTCATGTGTTGTTGCCTTCTGTCCTTCTCACAGGCAACGCGGTCGAGATGATTCTGTCGATTGCGGCGTTGCGTGAGAACCTGATCAAGGTGGTGCAGTCGTCTCTGTTGGGCTCTATCCTCTCCAACATGCTCTTCGTTTTGGGGCTGTGCTTCTTCGCCTCGGGCATTCGCGGCGAGAACTCACGGTCCAACCAGCGATTCAATCTCACCAATGCGTCGTACAACGTCTCTCTGCTGGTCATCTCATGCCTAGCGCTGGTCATCCCAACCACACTGGCCGCGCTGGATCGCGAGAGCACCGAGAAAGACCGTTTGAGCATTTCGTATGTGACGGCGCTGCTGCTGACCCTGATGTACATCCAGTTTCTGGTGTTCCAGTTGAAGACCCACAAGCACCTGTTTCTGCTGCAGCATGACCGCGACGACGTCCAGCTGAGTGAGGACGGTGGGTTGGCAGTGAGAGGCATCAAGGGGACGGAGCTCTCCATGGTGGAGGGCATCTGCCTCCTCGCTGCGTCGACTATCATGGTACTCGCAACAGAGAGAGGAGGCCTCATTGCGATTGGGTCATGGTGTCTGTCTGTCTGTCTGTTGGTATTTCTCTCAGCTGACGTTTCATTGCGACTGTGTGGTAGCGACGATGCAGGAAGTCACCAAGAGGCACGGCATACGGCAGGCATTCATCGGTGAGCTAACGAATCTCACGCGGAACATGATATGTCGTTCGGCAAGACACCACCTGTCTCTCTGTCTGTCTGTCTGTGTGTGTGTGTGTGCGCCAGGCACGATTCTCCTGCCCTTTCTGGGTAATGCTGCCGAGCAGATGACGGCAGTCTCAATCGCAGCCAGAGACAAACTCGGTAAGCACATGCCGATTGCAATGGATGGAGGTCTCACCACGGCATTGTGGATGCGGTGTCCTGTGTGTATGTGCACATACCAATCAGACTTAGCCCTCTCTGTCGCTGTGGGCTCGGCGACCCAAGTGGCCCTCTTTGTCGTCCCCGTGACCGTCTTCACAGGTACACACATATCGATAGCACACACAATATCTTCTTGCCATGTCTGTGAGTACGTGTGCGTTGGTGGTCAGGTTCTTTGCTCAACGTGCCGATGGATCTCGACTTTGAGGTGTTCCAATTGGTTCTGCTGGTCATGTCGACCATGATTGTGTCGGTGGTGCTGCACGACGGCAAGGCGAACTGGCTGAAGGGCTCTATGCTCATCTCGGCATACGTCCTCGTGGCATGGGCCTTCTGGTACCTGTCGGACAGGGAGTTCCGCGGAGAGGACACCCTCTGATTCACAGACCCGTGGATGGATGGATGGATGGACGAACGCGCACCCAGGCCGGCCGACGCGACACAGCCGCGGCCCCAATTTATCTGTGTTGGCTATCTGTATGGCGAGGTGGGGGTGAGGGAGGCAGGCAGGCAATTTTGTCGAGGCGCTGTGTTGAATCGACCAGCGTAGTGCTGAGGGTGACGAGTGAGTGCATGGTATTATATGTCTGGGGGGCAATTACTGTGTATAGTTAGTTGGCTGCCCGTGGCCCCAGCTTTGACTATGGCATGGCTGGCGATGGGGCGGCCGGTCGGCTAGCTCAGCTGCTCATTTTCATTGTACTTAGTTAGGCAATTGGCCAACGTGTACGTATGTGTATACTAGATAGATAGATAGATAGTTCCGCACGGAAAGAGACTGTGAGTGATAGGCTTTACTCACTGGCCACCAAAGGACCTCAACGTAACGAAAGGCAGGCATTTTCTCATAGCATCCATTTACCTACCTCGATGGATGGAGAAGGCTTGTTGTGTCGGCACACACACGAATCACATTCACACAAATGCATACACACACTTCGTGCGCCCATCCATCCATCCATCCACCGGTCGTTCTGTCTGTCACATTTCTAGCAGTGCGAGTCTCCTCTCTTCATAGCTAGACGCGAACACCTCCGCCAGGAAACACAGCGGCACTTCCACCTCTCCACGCAGCTGATAAATAAGAAACACACACACGCCATGCACGGCACATACCTGAATGGACGGACCGCACACTCTACCGCTGATGTGTCGAAGAACTCCAGGCCTCTCGCTTTGGCAAACTCCTGGCCCTGCCATTCATGTCAGCACACACGTATCCATTCGTCCACTCATCAAGGGGAGGGGCTGTACGTGTGCGCTGGTGGCCAGGTGTGTGACCCACCATATGTGGCTTGACCATGTTGTGCCCGCTGGTGTCGTAGTCGCTCTTGTTGGCCAATACTACACCTGCACACACACACACATCTCCAATGGTTGTGTCGTTGCGTCGCATCACACATACCTACGACGGCGGCATTCTCACGTGCCGCCTGCACCCTCTCGTACCTGACACACAACACACACACACACACACACACACATGGATGAAGCAGCCAGGCTGTGCCTAGGGGCTCGTGTGGTGTGTGCCATGATCTGAGGTGGTGGAAGCTGTCGAGGCTCGTCACATCGTACACAAACACAAACGCATTCGCCGTCGCATACTGACACCACACGACACGATACACAAGCAGCACAACAACACGGATGGATGGACGGACAGACGCGTGTGTGTGTCATGCCGCGTACGTGTGGTTTGAGTAGTTCTTGTGTGTAGTCATCCCCGCCGGCGTCCAGCACGAAGAGCTCCACGCAGACGGGCTGTTCGGGGATCTTGATGGGCTTCATATACACGTCCACACCCGTCGTCTGCCGTGCCGCATACACGACACACAAGCACAGCGCACGAGCATTCATCCTTATACGCAGGGAGGGATGCCCGGATCTTTCACTCATTCGGCCATGGGTGCTGGCTGTACCATGGCATAGTCCTTCCTGAAGTGATGCAGCCCCTGTACACGCAGAACAAACACCGTGGCAGCTCAGCGTGCATCCTCGCTCCTGCTCGTCTCGGTGATCTTACGTGGCTGAAGGTCTGGCTGATCGCAGTTTTGCCGACTGCAGGATCCCCAATCAGCAGCACCTTGCAGCGGAGCCGCAAAGCCATGTTTCCTTCGGCAGCGCGCGGGTGATGTAAACTCACTTCGCTTTGCATGGGCGACCGCACATCTGATTTAGTATTCCAACACACGACTTGCAGGGGGAATGGACGACCCAAACGAGTTGATGCGAGACCTTAGCGACGAGAGTGGCAACGACGGTCACATGGACCGTGGCCAGCCCGCTCCTGCTGCAGCAGCTGCTGGTGCTCCTCGGGTCAAAGTTGCCACCGTTACACCCCCTGAGAGCCCGGGCCGTGAGAAAGGTGAATAAGAGAGACGAGATGGACGGATGAGGGCGGATTTGCAATGCGCTTGATGTGGATGCTGGTTCGTATGGATGGAATGCAGGTGCGTCGTTGCGCCGCATAGCCGATCTGAAGAACAAGTCCCCGCCCAAGATAGCTCAGAACCTGTGAGCAAGGGCACAGCAGCCATTAGGCAGATCCATCCATCCATCCATCCATTTCGCCCATCCATGGGTTGCGATGCTGTGCATGTGTGTGTGTGATGTCAGGTTTGTTGACAAGCCCGCCTCTGCGGCGGCTGCTGCCGCTGCTGCAGCGGCTGGAGGGCGCTCACCCGAGAAGGGGAGTCCCGGCCGCGTGCAGAAGTCGGCTGTGCTCAAGCCGATAGTGCCGCCAGTAATCGTAGAGCACAAGAAGGACGATGATAGGTAATGAAGGGATCCCATGCACATGACGCGTAGCATAATGCACAGCGTCCCTGCCTGGCTGTATCATGTGTTTCAGTGGTGAGTGTGCTGTTCCGAGTGGGCCGGCTGCTGCTGCAGCAGCGGCCGCTGCAGCTGGTGGGGGTCATGGTGGGGATGGGTGTGGGGTTGATGAGAACGGCGTAGACCATGGCGGTGAGGAAGACCTCCTGCCGCTGCAGCCGCCCTCTCCCGAGATCAGCACACGACCACACCCGCACCCGCACCACCACGACGATGCCGCTGGCCCTCACGAGGAGGAACATCACGAGCAGGACGAGGATGACATCCCGCGGCCCCACACCCCTCCCCATCCCGCCGGGCCCGGCCAGCTGACGATGGAATCCATCTTCGGCGGCCGATCGCCGCTCAAGCCATGGAAGCCGCTCCCCCGGCAGAAGAGCATGCTGGAGAAGGCGGCCGAGAAGGAAAAGGCCGACAAGGTCGCCCTCTCGGCCAGGGCCAGGAAAAGCGGCGGCAAGAAGGCCGTGGGCAAGGAGCGGGTGAAGAAGACCGCACACAAAGGGACCAAGGGGAGCAAGAGGGGCGGCAGGGGCCGGGGTGGCGGGGGGAGGGCTGCGAGGAGCGGCCGCCAGCGGAAATTCAAGAAAGAGGAGGAAGAGGAGGAAGGGGACGATGAGCAAGAGGGCGAGGAGGGTGATGAGGCCCATGACGATGGCGATGGCGCTTCGTGAACGTTTGGAGACGTGTAGTGCATGGCTGTGCATTCAATCTGTTGGACAAGTACGTCACGTATTGAAGGTTATTTTCTGACATGGTCCTTTGCAATATCATTCACACGTCGAGCACCTTTCCAGCAAAGGTTGAGGCAATCGTTCGTTTTCTCTCCCTCCCTCCGTCCCTCCCCCATCCCATTATCATACGCACACGGTATTCGAGCGCGTCAATGGATAAATCGGGCACGTCAATGTGGCATAGCAGCAAACGTGGGGAACAGTGCCCTGGCCTGACACTGCGATGCGACCGTTGCGATACTCTCACACGTGCACACACACACAGCACCGAAAAAACAGCAACGGGTCGCTCGCAATATGCCATCTGTCTGTCTCTCTCTGTCTGGTTGGTCACGTCACGTGGCCAGTTAGGTAGGTGTTGATGCTGACTGCGTCATTCTAGCAGAAAACAGAGAGGAAGAAGATCCACTGGCGCATGTAGAAGGCCTGGTAATCTTCATCCTCCATCTCGTCAATGTCCTCCTTGCTCAACGACACCTGACACACACACACAGCGTACAGCACACGCAGATGGACACATAGAGAGGTGGAGACATACACAACCTCGCCTGTCTGTCTGTCTGTCTGTCTGTTGGCATGGCAGCCCACCTACCTCTTCCCACTCCTCGTCCCCGTCATCCTCTCCCACGAGACAGGCAGACGACGACGACCCCACGCCCTTGGCCTCATACACCACGGATGGCTCACCCGCACTCACACTTGCCGTCGAACCTGAACCAAACAAGAGAAATACAGCCGGGCTGCCTGTTGTTTGCGGTCGTGGGGTGGGCAGCTGACCCCGGCGGATGATCTTGTCTACTGTCGAACTCTGCAGCAGCTGCGATGTGAGGAAATTGCTGTCGTTGTGTGTCGACAAACAACACAGGGATCCGTGCCCACAGACGGCGAATGAGTGTGGAAGTGCTCACCTTGCGTGAGAGTCGCTGCGTTTGTCGAAGATTGCCGTCTTGGCGGGCGAGAAACCCGGCCTGCACAGAGAGAGACATAGTGGGCCAGGCCACGACCATGTTTCGTCCCTCCCCTTCTGCTTACGATGTCGATTCATTGGCGTCGCTCCCCTCTCCCTCGGTTCCTTCAAGTTCGTTGCGATAGATGGGGACCTTCGGCTTTGGCGGCGCCTTGGTGCGACCAAACAGACCAAACAGAGCGTTCATCGTGTTCCTCTGATGTGAGTGCGATGAAGTCAGAAGTCGATGAGGGAACGGCGGTGGGGGAAGGCCGTTTTGCGGTTTCTTTCTCGATATTTCCTCGAGGTGGTGTAGCTTGACGTACGCGTGTGCTCTCTGGGTGCTCAGACAATCAAAAAAGCCAAAAAGATTGTGACGATCTGCGAGCTTAGCTCGCAGCCGAGGAAGGGGTCGCATCTTCTTCATCGCAAGAGGCATCGTGACGGAGCAATTAGATGGCAGTATCCAGAGCATCCGCATCTCCACCTCTTCTTCGCCCTCCGGCGCCTCCCGCATTCGTCCGTGCACAGCGACGCTCTCTGACGCGCCGACAACATGCCCTGCTCCGCCAATCTGTCGACAAGGCCAGCCTTGACCCATCCAATCCATTGCAGATGGGCGCACGTGAGCTGTGCCACGCCGCCATGAATGCCTCCAAGCAGGGCTACGCTGACATGCACTTCTGGAGGCGGCTGGCGGACCAGGGGAAGCGGCTGGCGGGCTCTCTGGCGCCGCGGGAAGTATCCTTATTGCTTAGCAGCCTGGCGCGAATCGCATATAGGGATGTGGCTCTGATTGAGGCTCTCGCGACCCAGCTGATGCGGACGCTTGCCACGAGCAAGCAAGACGAGCAGACCGCCACTGCCTCGGCTCAAGTGCTGGCCAATGTGGTGGACGCCCTCACCCGGCTGGATGTGTGGGACCGGCCTCTGTTCGCGTCGCTTCATGAGCAGCTGCAGCGGCACGTGACGGCTTTCAGCGACCAGCAGCTGGCCACCATCTGCCTCTACTATGCCAAACAGAACCTCTATCGGGCGGAGCTCTTTGACGCCATATCGCAGGAGATCCGCAGCAACCGACGCACCACACTGGACGGCCTGGCCATGGCCCACATTGCCCACGCTTTCGCCAAGCTGCAAGTCACCGACCCGCAGCTTTACGAGGCCTTCGCTGAGAATATCCAGTCGGAACACCGGCAGATAGAGCTCACCTGCCAGGCCCTCTGCCTCCTCCTGGGCGCCTTTGCCAGGATGAACATAGCGGACGCATCGGTCTTCGGACCGCTGGGTCACTTAGCTGTGGAGTGGAGGGCTTACTTCTCGTGCATGGAGATCGCCCTGTTGATGCACGCGTACGCCAAGGCGAGATTTCGGCACGACGAGATGATGGACAGCTTTGCGGACGTCATTGTGGCCAAGGAGACTGCCGAGGGGTCGGCAGGAGCGCCGAGGAATGATGCTGCAAAGCCGTGGGCAGCGCCGCCACGATACTCATCTGACCGGGTGAGCCCGCACACACGAAGAGGCCATCCATTCTATTTGCTCGCTTGGAATCCATTGACACGTGTGTGTGAGTGTCTTCTTCTGCAGTTGCTGAATGACAAAACGAGGCCAAGCGGGTCTGAAATGGGTCGTGTTAACGACCGCTGGAGCGCGAGCGACCTGGCGCACATCAGTGCTGCCTACTCGAAGCTCGACGTCATCCCGCCACACCTATTCGGCTTCATCTCCAGTCGCATACAAACCATGGTAGGTCCCGGGAGCAACACACCACAACACCTTGGCCTGTCTCATTATCTCTCTGCGTGTCTGTCAGGTCAAGATGAATGCATCCGTGAATTCCTCTGACATCGCCGAGCTACTGATGGCCTTCACCCGGGCAGGGCGAGCCGATATAATGCTTCTCGCATGCCTCGCCCAGCTCATCCCTCGGAGAATCGACGATTTTCGTCCGCATGAGCTCCGCACTGTGCGGCGTGCATTCGATGAAGCGGGCTTTCAGAGTGATATTGTTGAGGTGTACTGTGCGGAGTGACGGGGGTGTGTTGTCTCATGACGGGCTGTGGGGCTGTCAATAAGCGGATTGAGTGATCGGATGTAGCGTGCATTGACGAGATATGACGAGTGCTGCGGTAAGGCAAGTGTCTGTCATTGTTGTCCCTTGTCAATTGCATCGCATGCACAACACACGCGACGCACTGGATAGGGGTGATACGTACGTAGAGACCCCGACCCGACCCCGAACAGGAAGCCCAAATAAGACCGAGATACATCAGTATCTCGGTCTTACTTGGGCTTCAAGTAATATATCTTGTCGTCATCAACCTGATGCAGAAACCCACACAGTGACAGCCTTCTTGCCGCTGCATTGCGTGCTGACTCACTCACTCCTTCACTCACCTCAGGGAAAGTCCTGAGTATGACCTCCTCCAGCCCGTCCTCCACATCACCCTATGTAGACACGCATCGCATCGATGGCCATCCACACACGTACGGCACGTGCCTATCTACCGACCCCACCCATCCACTGCCAACCTGAATGTCGATCTCGTCCGGCTGTCCTGGGGCGCCCTTGACGACAGCCGCACCGCAGCTGAAGGCCTTGGAAAACACCTTAGACGCCTTATCGAGCTTCACACCTTCACACATACAAACCCATGACGCCGGGACGGTACCAACGCACGCATCTGTGTGGCATGGATGGTGTCATGGTGCGCATACCGACCGAACGTTTCGAGCCCCTTGACGGTGGTGATGAATTTCCTGCCCTTCCTGTTTTGCCGCTGGACGGTCACCTTCTGCTCAACCTCCTTGCCCTTGTTCTTCTTGGCCAACAGCTTTAACTCAGTGTCTAATCACACACACATACACACACAATGCCGGGCAGGCTCTTGTCATCCATTATGCATGACTCACTGGCGACGCTCGCGGCCGCAGCGGCCTCCACTTGTTCCTTCTCCTCGAGGGTGAGGCTAGCCATCTTCTCGGCCAGCTCAGGGTAATACTGCGGGTACTGCTCAGCAGCACGGATCTTGCACTTGTCCCACATGCCGCCCCAGTCGCAGAAGTCGGGCGGCATCCCACAATCTGATCACAGCACAGCGTGACGGTTTCGTCATGCATCGAGGCCAGTGCAATTGAATGGCTCACCTGGGCAGTATTGGACCCTCACTGGAGCACCGAGCGGCGGCTGCTTGTCGTGCTCCCATGGCACTTCATCCGCGCTACTCGACGGCCCAGGTCCACCATCGGCAAAGAGATCTTCGTTGTCTTCATCCTGCTCCTGGTCTGGCTCATCTCTGCCCTTCTTCTTGCCCTTCTTGCCTCTCCTCCTTTCCCTCGTTGGTCGGTCGTCACCGCTGGCCGCATCGCCCGCATCACCTCCCGACCTGTCGAACAGATCTTCCTCGGCCTCACCTGCGGCGTCCATTTCGCCACCATTCTCTGCCATTGCCCCCGCAAATTCGTTGCGAGCTCTCTGACGCCTAGGGTGGTCCATGAAACCGCCGCTGCCAGGGGCGTGAAGGACATGGAAGAGCTAAAAGGCAGACACGAAATCGGCGGCAATGTTGATGAGTGAAAGCTTCTGTTCAGCATCGCAAGAGGGAGCGTGAGAGCGAAGGGCAGACAGGGGCAGCGGATGATGAAGTTTCCCCGAGAGCAGGAGTCGACATGTCAGCACGGGATATTCGTTAACCCCCCACACCTCCAGGGCTGTCAACGTCACCTGCACCAACGTGTGGCTTAGTTTGTGAAATTGGCGAGAATTCTCGTCGGGAGACGGCAGGAGACAGGGACGTGGTTCAAAGAAGAAAACAAACCACCACCAGCTGCCGTGTTGTCCTCCCTTGTTTTCCAGCTCTCAGTTTTGTCTTTTTCTGGCTGGTTTCCCTCGCGCCCCGCCCACCATCTCCGCCGCGCCCTCCCTTCCTTCCCGTACGTGGCAGCGGCAACCAATGACCTCGCCGCCCTTATCGGCCCACCGCGGCGGCAGCCAGCCGGGGCAGCTGCTCCTGGCCAAGGCTCCCGTCTGTCTGTGCACCGCGCTCGTCGGTGTTTTATTTCGAATTGAGGTAAGTCACTGTGTGCCCGTGTGTGGACATGTGAGAGCAGACATGACTTTTTGGGACTTTTTGAGCACATATACTTGTCTTGTGTTGCCAGCGAGGCCAGCAGTGTCCGCACAAGGACGAGAACTGAGCGCCTGGTGCCGTGGGTTGGCATGAGAAAGTATTCTCGACGAGAGACGGAGTGTTCTTTTCGTTCTCGCTTTTTCGTCAGGTTCTTGTCTTGCTCCTCAGCTAAATCTGGTGGTCTCTCCACGCCCCGTAACTATTCGGCCCCCTTCCGCCCCCAGTCTCTTCAAAGGACCAGAGGAGAATGATGATGGGCATTGGAAAAATGAGAATGCCAGCCGCGTACGCACGTGCGGGATGTGTGTGTGTGAGCGGCGTTAGGGGAGCACCCCGATGACGAGATCAAGTACCTGTCAGGTGAGTGAGTGATCCTACTTAGTGAATGGAGATGGATCGATGCTTTGGGCAACACAAACAGTCGATGACCTACCCACATACCTGGAGAACATACAAGTGGTGGCAAGGCAAGTGCTGGACGGCCTGGATTTCCTACACACCATGAAACTCACCTCACACACTGAGGAGTCAAAGATGAGACGGCAAGCCTATGTGTCTTTCTCCTAATGCAGCACAAGAATGTCTTGTTTGCTGACCCGCACATAGCGCGAAGCGTGCCACCGTCACGGGTACGTACCCGCGCATACAGGATACGACCACCACGATTAATGGCCTTTGTGTGTCCCTACTGCAGATATCCGGTGCCCCTCTGGGCGATCACTTCGTCCGCCCGGCCAAAGCTGATACCAAAAGTGCATGCAAGACATATCAAATACCACGCCACTCATCACTCGTGATGCCCGTTTTGTGTCTCAGTCATAGATTTCGGAGGGGCAAGGTTTGAGGAGGAGTGTGATTCTCTCGTCGTCAACACCAGACAATACCGCGCCCCTGAGGTCACCTTGGGCCGTCGCTGAGCAGTGAGCAGCAGCAGCAGCCATGGAGACCCAGCGGCCCGACCTGTTCATCGAAGCGTGCAAGTTCGGGCAGTGGCCGAAGGCGAAGCACGAGAGGCTGGCACGTCTCCGTCAGCGTCAGGAGGACACATGGATAGCCATGCAGCCAGCCAGTACACAGACAGACAGACAGACAGACAGACAGACGGGGCAAGAGAGAGGGCGGGGCGCCGAAAGGCCGTTCTCACTGCATGCTCGTTTCTTCTCCGTCATTGTGTGTCCTCTCTTGGTTTCTGTGATGACTGACTGCAGTGCTCAGCCGCATGACCCGCCGGCAGCTTGAGGTGGACCTGCTCGAACTCATTGAGAACCACCACTACCTGGGCGGTACGCCGCCACGATGATGTGATGGAAGGGGTCATCACTCATGTGCCTCTGTATGCTTTCCTTGTAGGGAAGTTGCTGAAGGCTGAGGAGTCCTGGCGGAGGGCCGGGCCCATATTTGTGGAGCAGCGCACACGGCTGGTCAGCCCTATCCGGGACTTCTGACATCCACACACACGCTGATCAGTGGATGTGTGTGTATCCTTGTGTTTGATGCCTTCTCTGTCTTGTGCAGCAGGCTGCCGAGAGAGAGGCGCAGCAGCTGCGCACTCAGCTGGAGGAGCTGCGCGCCAAGCAGCAGCCGCAGCAGCGCCAGGTACACATACCCGCACCATGTCTGCAGGGCAGGAGGGATCGGCAGGCACTTACTGTGATTGATGCAGTCATTCGGTGTCTGTGTGGCTGTCTGTGTGTTGTCATCAGGCCCCCCCCCAAGCCGCCCCGGTCCAGGTCCAGCAGCACAGCGCTGCCGGCGTCTCTCCCCTCCCTCACCGCCACCCACACCCCCGCCCCGCCCCCGTACATGTAGTGCCAGGGCCCCTCCCAATGCACAGTCCGGCCAACGTGGCCCCCTCCCCCTTCCAGCAGCCGGCGAAGCTGTGGCCCCAGATGACCCCCGGCATCGCACAGCGCGGCCATGAGGTCGACATCGACCCTCTGGCGGGGCTCGGCACCGTCTCGTCGTGACCGCCGTTTGACCACAAGGCCCACAGAATGCCGCCACACAGGTGGCTTACAGTACTGATTGACACTCACGACAGCCCCCACAAGCTGAGCTGTCTGTCCTTCATGCCCTCTCTCTCCCTTTGTGTGTGTCTGTACGTACCAGTCATGTTGGTCAGCTGCCGCGTCAGAAGCGACCCCAGGACGGCCTGCAGTGCATCGGCATGGGCCAGGGCCTGGACAACCCCCCGCAGCAGCAGACGGGCTGGGTGAGCCCGCCACGCCGTGCAGTGCCGCCCTTCTTCCCTCACGGACAGCCTGCTGGTGGTGGTGCGATGGGCGCCGGCTTGTTCGATGCTTCGCGGCGCCGTATGTGGAGACGGGACTGCGGTCGGGGGGCAGTGGGGGCGGTATGACGACGGGCAGCGGCGGCAGCGGCCACGGCTCACAGATGTCCGGTGGCACGGCTGCTACGAACGATCCTGGCGCCATCTCTGCTGGTACGTCGGGCGGAGAGAGGGAGAATACCCTGAATGAGATGGGGTGGATACACTCAGGTGCTTATTCCTCCCGCTGCACAATCCGGCCAACGTGGCCCCCTTCCAGCAGCCGGCATGATGACTCTCGCCATCGCACCAGCCCCGGTGGCCTCTTCGCTTGTCTCGGTCCCCCAGGCAGCCGCCCCTTTCAGCCGTATCATCCGTCATTCCCTCCACGAGCGTCTCCCTCCCCGCCCCTCGTCCCCTCACCTGACGCCACCCGAACGCCGCATCTCCACCCTCACCCAGCTCCAGCCTTCGGCGCCGCACCTAACCTGTTGTTTGGCAATTGGGCCAATCGGCATCAATGAGGACCACCGTATGGCGGCAGCGGCGCCGGCATCGGAGAGCCATCGCCATGTGCAGGGGAGGACGGGGGGCAGAGGAGCTGGCGGCCTCTTTGGCGGCGGGCAGACGTCAGCAACACGAGAGCCGCACCAGGTGCGGGACAGGTCGCAGAGCCCCCCTCAGAAGAAGGGGGGCCTCTGCGGCCTCTTCCGGTGCTGAGGGCTTCGGCCCTCAGCACCACAGCGCCCCCACAGATGGGGGCTGGGGGGGGGGGGGGGGGGGGGGG